CGTTTGCCCATTACGTTCGTAACTATTGTAAGTAAAACTCATCTCGGCTTTAATGACTATTACATTGTGTGTTGTTTGTTTTTGCGTATTAGCCATATAATCTTCCGGTATTACACATAGAACCTTAGTAACCCTACAGCACTAACGCGTGGATGACTGCTAATTAACATTAATCCCGTTTTACTGTGTAATAACGGGAGATTATACAGCCAGAGCGCAAAGGCGAATAAAGTTCGATACTGATCATTAGTAGGTGATATAAACCGTGGGATAATTACGAAACGTAAGCTCCAGCGGAGAAAGCGACAGGCGTTCTAACGACCGATCGGGTCACGTCGTTATCGCGAGAATTTTCAATCTCGGTTGAACACGTTTTTAGCAATGAAAGAGTTTAATATAGCCACAAATGAGCGTCTTCGAACACCAGGTGCCATTACTCGGCCGAAAAGATCGCGCCGTCGTTCGCGCCGGTAAACACACCGCGCGCGTATCGACTCCCTGATAAACGACGCGTATTAAGACGAGATAAGCCGCAAACCCGTTTTGTTCTTGTTGTCTGCGTCACCGAATCGGCGCGGGGTGCCAGCTGGAAAAATATGAGATACACGTCGGACGCGCGGGTTATGGTCGACGAACCAGCGAATGGATGCACAACAACCTCGTCGTCGTCTTCACGATCTTCATCGTTATGCCCGATCGCGGCGTAGAATCATCGATGCATATGAAATCTTTTGAAAGTTTCTTCGAAAGCGTATTTTTTTACGAGTCGTTGAAACGAGCGTATAAGCTACCTGAACTCGATATTACAAACGTATTTGTACTCATTCTAAATTAGTCGCTTTTGCTTCCCAAATATTTATGATATAGTTATCACATTAATTATTTGAACATTAATATTTAAATATTAAAGCAGTGAACGCTCGAGACTTTTCCTATAAAACTTTTATATCCGAGGAAAATTTCCCTTACAGAAATTTAATACTGTAAGTGATTATTTGGCTAGTGATTAATTACTTATTTCGAGTATTAAAAGTACTGTTTTTAATTATTTTAATACTCAAAATAAGTAATTAATTACTAGCCAAATAATCACTTACAGTATTAAATTTCTATAAGGGTTACTTCCCCGTTTTCTTCAAGGAACTTATCGTTAAATTGGACTGTTTCTCCGAAATAAACGGCAGACTGTGTGCACAACTGCACAACTGCGAAAACGCAGTTTGTACGCATACGCATACGGGAAGGTGTAAACGTATTTACGCGGTTTTCTCTGTCAAGCTGCCCGAATTATTTTCCGTAAGTATCTCGCCCGCGGACCGGTTTATCATACGGGTCCGGGTGCGCATTGGACAGTTTATTAAAACCTCGCCTCGGGCGTCGCATCCCAAATATCTCTCGTTACCTATTATTCCGCAGTACTCGTGCGTGAGTCAGTGAATCAGTGCGGCGTTTCGAATATTTATGCGGAAGGAATGATAAATCGCTCCCTCGGTTCCACGCACGATTCGCATGTTTCGACCTTGCGCATCTCGCACGAGACGCGATTTCGCGTCTCGTAACACGGACATGACCCCGCTCAACCGAGCGACAGCTCAGTGGACCTGGATTATTAAGACCGAAATAACTGCCGCGATGTAACGGTCATGGCCGGCAATTAAATTTAAGTACTTACGGATGCGCACATCCGAGTCGAGCGGGTGCATCGGACACACACGCGCGCGCGCGCGTGAGCATTTATGAGCGCGAGGAGGTAAATGCGACTACGAGAACGTGTATGGTAGATGATGCTATCAGTTTGTACGGCGATATGTAAAAGATAAACTATCAATTAGCAATAAATCCGTAAAAACAGAATCTTCGTGTCAAGGAACAGGTTAAATTATGAGAGACAAATCTTTCCTTGAAACTATCTGTTCTACGTTCAAGTTCCAAGTTGAATGCAAACGTGAGATGTTTTCGAGATGTTAAAAACGTTTAATAAATGTAATCAAGTAAATATATTATAATTATCGAAACAAGTTGTAGTCGAAATACTGGAAAACAAAAATCTCGAAGTTTCCGCTTTTTATTCGTATAACAGAAGAAGAATTCTTATCTTCGGAATGGAGAATAGTAGAATACAATCTCCTTCGGATGCAACTCGTGGCTCCATCTTACAATACACGAACTCATCTCCCGTCGCTTGCTCGTGGATCACCAGGAATATCTGGATCGCCGCGTTCATCGATCACTTTTGTCACGGACCGCGCGAGTTTATTTTCAGTGTGAAAGGTGGCGAGAGAAGGGACGATCGTTAACGGCGTCGGCGTGCGGGACACGTATCTCGCGCTTTTTGTTTTGCCCCTTCTTTATTTTTTTTTCTGCTATCAGGCCCGCGAGACCACCTGTCGCTTTACGCCGGCAATTATGTTCGCGCGATTGCGAGCGGGCGCGCAAGACAAGCGCGAGCTTTAATCGGATCTCGCGCGATTTGTCGCGAAAGTTCGTCGCGGACGCGCGAGATCCCAAGAACGAGCGCTGCCGCCGCGCCGCGCCGCACGGCTTCTACGACGAATGGAAAAGAAACGTAATCGCCCAGGCCAACGAACAACCGTGGCCTCGGCTTCAGGGTCGTTTCGACTATTATCCCGCAGCAGTCGAGGATGCAGCAGAAACACATCGCTCGGAGGCCGCGCTCGGTGCATCCGCTCGATACTCACGTTTCAATATTGGAGTACCGTACACACCGTGCTTTGATGATCGAAATACAGATACCCTCCTTCGGTATCTCAATATACTTTAATGTATCGACTTTTCAGACTTAACGCTACTCTAGAATTGATAACGTGAAATGTTGATTACAAGAAGATCCACCGTAATCCGTAATATCCTGCATGATTTTACAAGGTGTAAATATTAATTGCATCGATTCTCTCGTATTAACTGAAGTTACGGAATCGTTCAGAAGAGAAATATAAAATTGATATTTACGAATTGAATGTTAATGATTATACGTTCGCCATACATATATTTAAAATTTTATTTTTGTTGAACTTTCCAATGATATAAACATAAGTCATAAACCCATCTAAAGTTTTCATATTTTTAGAAAACAAATAAAATGAAATTGGCGCATATCTTAAAATTTTATATTTTGTTTCAAAATTTCTATCTACTGTTTTAATAATCTTTTGTTTTTATTGTCATCGTGTTATTGATAAATAGTCTTTGCACAGTTATTGATTAAAAATAAGAGACTCTAACTAAGAATAATAAAAGAGAACAGATATAGCTCAATAAATTAACTTTGATAAACTCGGAGAACCCGTTCATTTCGTTATTTTTGTTTGGGCAAACGTTCCTCGGGGAATTCGTCCGTGAGATTCGAACGATTCGAGATTCGATGGAAAGTGGGCAGCAGCGGGGGAATAAAGAAAAATGCTGTGGACGTTCTAGATTCCGTCAACGAGTAACGACCCCGTCGAGAGCGCCTTGCATCCCGTGACGGTATTAACCTCGCCGCGGGCACGTGTTCCGAGAGAGGAGCGAGTCCTCTTTTATTACTTATTAGCGACACCCAAAGCGCATACTGACTCCACTCTCGCATCGCGCGCGCTGGCGATGCGATTTTAATGATGTGTTTCAAGGTCCCAAGGTCTCTGCCACGGATAAGCTACAGGGCCGTTGCCGTCTGATCCCGATGACAGCTGGCCTTAGCTAGAAATTTCGATATCATCCCTCGATCGATACCTCCTCAATTGGAAACCGATTGTACGAAACATACCGATATTTTCCCACATCTATATACATAGCTCTTTAGCAGCTATAATACCATTCTATTCATCAACGAATTTTTGGAAGATATTCTCTTAACATTATCTTTTACTACTATCGCAGGTCTCCAAAAAAATATCAGAAAAATAAGAATTTACTTCCGTTTGTATACAATTTATATTCGATAGATATAGAGAGAGTTGTCTCTGTGATTTGCTTTTAAGGAGATAGATGCAAATCTTACACCGTGATGCAAAAAATTGAATCTAGACAACAAATAAGTCCACATCGAGACGTGTCGTGAAATTTCGAGAGAGAGAGAGAAAGAGAGAAAGAGAGAGAGAGAGAGAGAGGGAGAGAGGGAGAGAGAGAGAGGACGGTTCCATGTTGACATCTCGTCAAAGATATATGAGATCGAGAAACGAGGGAACTCGACAGCGTCGAGAGGCCGGGAGGCCGTCATGCCGACGAAACGACAATTTGCAAGGTCCGCGAGCCGCGCTCGTAGACGGCGATACGAGCAAAGAAACCTTCGCGCGATGGTCAGGGCCACGAGGTTCTTGCGCCGAGAGCGTTAATCTCGCGAATGCGCTACGTGATCGTGCAAACTGCACACACATTGCATATGCATACAGCGCTTTTTTTCGCATTCACCCGCCTGCAATCTTCGCCTTCGTAATTCTTATTCTATCGAAGATATGGCAGATCCCGAAAAATCATAATGAAATCAGTAGAACGAGATATCCATCGCGAGAGAAAAAATATCAATTCTAATTTTAGTGACGTTTCTCCTTTAACCAAATTGAAACCCGCTTTCTTAATTAAAGTTTCAAGACATCGTGTAAGGTAATGGAATGTCAATCAAGTAGTGGAAGCTTTGGTATATGTATATATATAAATTCAAATGGGTATTTCGAAATGGATTAATCGAATGATTTAACATTTAATTATCAGTTTTAGGTTCAAGATTTAATTATCAAAATATTTAACGTGTTTATTTTGAGTTCTAAAATGTTATGATAAAGAATTAACTCTCCCAAAATGTTCTTTGGAAAGAAATAAATTTTATATTTTATCAAATCAACTAGCTTTAGTGTAATCTGTATAAATGTATATAAATTATTGTTTTAAATATAAGTGTTAACTTTTCTTTAATATAAAGTACAATAACATTGTGAAATATTTTATTCTTAAGAATATTTTATTCATTGATCAACTTTTTTGTAATTTGTACGATTCTGCTGCAGAGATCTTAAAATGGAGAACATCGTACTACAGGACGAACGCAAGGAACAGATCAAGATAGTGGGTGAGAGGCAGACGTGTGTACACGGACGTCGACATATCGCGCGGGACTAGAGAACATTATGGTCGTGGCGATTGTGGCAATCGCCATCGATCGAACCGCGTAGATTAGCGTGCACAGCGAAAATCGCAACTATAATGTTTCCGCTCGCGTGACGCTTGATTTTCGAGCGTGAAATCAGATCCACCTGTGCCCGGCAGAGCTCCGCATAAAAAATTGCACTTGCGATGAAATTGGCCGCAATTTATATAATTACGCAGAAATATAATGCCCGTTATTCTTAATAACCTTCGATTATTGTTATATATTGCTACGGCATATCTGATCCCAAGGCAGACTTCTTGGCGAAAATATCAAATAGATGCAAAATATACTTCTTGATTTTATCGACATTTTATATTCGTAAGAGCAAAGAAAATATACAGTTTTGTGTTAAAATTTATTTTACTATATTAATTAATATTTATACATCAAGATCGCGGATTAAACGATGATTACACAATTTAACTTTAACAATAATCGAAGGTTAAAAAAATTTGTATAGACAAAACTCACCGATCCGATGACAGATGTTTTTTGCGATCGTAGATTTTGGTCTCAGCAACATTTACGCTAGCGACGATCCACTGCGAACACACTGCGGTTCCCCAGAGTACGCTGCTCCCGAGCTTTTCGTTGTAGGTAAACGATACGGGCCGGAAGTGGATATATGGAGCCTGTAAATAAATACAAATTTGTAATGTGTTATCAAGATTTTTTTAAATATAACTCAAGTCATATAGTGTTAAGAGAAGTAAATTTGGCGGTTTCGCATTCCGCTCTTCAATTATTGATACAGCATGTATAAAGACACTCTTTGGCGTAATGTCTAAACATTATATGCAATGTGACAAGCAGAGGAGTCGTTCTATATGGAATGACCATCGGTCGACTTCCATTTCTGTGTCCCCGCGACGAATGGACATCGTCGGAGGAACGTCGACGGAGGCTGATGATCCAGATCAACAGGGGCTTGACATCGATTCAGGAAAAAGCCATGTGCCGAACGTCGATCGAATGCAGGAACCTGATAAACCGCCTACTCGTCCCATCGGCTCGCGAGAGGATCACCATTCGAGAGATCCTTCACCACCCGTGGATCCTCGCGTCGTCGAAGAGCAATTTTCATCTTCGCTCTGAAGACGATTTGAACGTCTCCAATCACGCCTCGGTAATATATGCAAGATACTCCAGAATCCTCGACGTAATCGTGGAATTCAAAGACAAACATGTATAGAAAACACGGCATACATTATCTCGACGATTTTTTGATTCTCTATTTCATATTTTTCATTCTATTTAAAGAACTATTCAAACCTTGATATATTTCAATAATGTTTTTTAACCATATTTTACATCTCTTTAATTTGTTTTCCTGATAAATGCTTCTATTATTCGCGAGATAAATTTTTCAGTTTTATCAAACCTACGCTTTCATTATTCGTGATAAAATACAATTTACAAATTTAACAAACCCTCTTATTTTCCCGCTGGCTGTACATTCTGCGTTATTATGCACTGAATTTTCAATTTTACTGCTGCATTTATTCTGCGGTTTTTTGGTCGGCTTTAAAATATGCGCCAATTAGTAACGCCATACGAAATACTCGTGCAAGGTGATTGCATCGCTGATTATTATAGATAGTGAACGAGATCGCGACGGCAATGCGAACAACCACGGCTGCTGTCGAGGCTGAAATAATGAGACGAAAGTACGGAGAAGTCGGCGGCATGTATAATATTAAGTAAGTACGTCAATTAAGGGAGAAGACATTTTTCGAGAAAGTTATTTCACGTTATAATTTATTCATATCCGAACACTTATTTTCAACAGAGAGCACAAATTGCAACAAGCAGCCGCTGCTGTTTATCAGTTAGCACCGCGACTTCTTCGCAATTCCACGTGTCGAACTGAAGACATTTCATCGTCGACCATGACTATCAGGTGACAATTAAAATATAAAACTATATAAAATATAATTATGTAAATTTTTTAAAATACAATTCTTGAGAAAGTGTTCTTTGTAAAATATTTCTGTACATATCTCTTTCAAAAAGGAAAATGAAGTCCAGCAGAATATATAGCCAAATAAAATTTAAAATTAGCAAATCTTAATTGCAAATGTCTTTTATAACGAATAGTCTTGTTTATTTGATTATCCCAAATTATATTTTATTGTAATAAATAGTGACAATTAAGACATCTTGCATATATTACTGATAAATTCTTTTATATATAAAGAAAAAGTGTTTTTTATGTATACACAATATATTTTTGCGAAACTATCCAATAACATGAAGATTCCTTTTCTATACTGATACAGAACGACGAAAGATAATTTTCGAAACGGTACATCCGGGAACTCTGACAATACCGATCGCATAATTGTCATGCGACGCGGCCAGCTGCAAGATCGATCGGTCAAGAAATCCTCATTACACGGTTCCACGATGTGGAACTGGCGATGCCGTTCCGGAAACGAAAATCGCTCTTCCGAGGAACGGAGAAATTACGTAAAATTCGACTTCCTTTTGCCCCACGTCCCCAATCCCAACGATTACGATCACGTCGATCATACGGAGATCCTTAGCCATTGTTAATTTCTCGTCTTTTCAGAAAATTCGTTACGATATCACGGACACCTTATCAAACCAGCAGAGTCGTGCGCCGCAAATTATTAAAAATCAGGACGATAAGATTTCGAATCGACGATCGTACAGGTACCATTCGATAGAACGTTAAAATAGAATTGTATTTTTGCATAGCCATATATTAATTGAAAATAAAATTAATTGGCTCGTTTATATAAAAATTATACATTTAATATAAGGCTGATACAAGCATGATACAACTTCAACTTCTTTTCCTTTTTTCTCCCACCTTTGAACTTTGAACTCTTCGAGTTAAATTGAGTTAAATTGCGCCTGGAAGATAAGAGAAAAAAGAATGTAGAACAGAAATTCTATCGTACGTACATCTGTATGATTTAGGCGCGTATTAGCCTCTTATTAAATTTATAGTTATTATTTATTATATTAATTGTCATGGTTGTAAATAGAGGCGAGACATGGAAGTCGAGAAATTCTATATCCTGTAATGTTTCTAAAAAAATGGAAAAAAGCCATAGCATCGCTAAGGTCTGCAAAGTGGATTGCAAAGTACTGCCCAGTCCTTGGACTTTGCAAACCTATTCGCGCGTTAGCAGCGAAAGCGTGCCTGCTTCGCGAATTAAAGTAAGATTCTAAATTTTCAAATAAATAATAATCAAAGAACTAAAAAATGATACTGAAATGCAAAATTATTTTTCTAAGCAATGCCGGGTTACGTCGCTTACAGAAAGATAATGCTAACGGCGTAATTATACGATTAAGGGCCGGTTGTTCCAACCTATTGGTAAGCTACCTGATAGTTAAATCACATGTCTATCTTTGTCCAATGTAAAGGATAAACAAAAACATACATATATGATTTAACTATTAGATAGTTTACCAACAGGCTGGAACAACCAGCCCTAAGTAAGGGCCGGTTGTTTCGACCTAGGTTGGTAAACTAACTAACAGTTAAATCATATGTCTATCATTGTCTAATGTAAAAGCTAAACAAAGACACATATATGTATATGATTTAACTGCTAGTTAGTTTACCAACAGGTTGGAACAACCGGCCCTAAACCGATCTAATTTCGATATTTATACGACACAATCATACTTTTCAGGAGAGCTTTCATAAAAAGATACTTGCTCCACCGTGGCGATGTCGCGTCGGAAGTGCGAAAATTAGAAGAGATACATGAAACTAGAAGCATCTTTAAATGAAGCGTGAAAAACGGTGATGTTCTCGCTTTCGATGAATTAGACGAATAGAAAATACACGTGTCTATCGAGATTTGGATATAAATCGCGTTAAATTGTTCGCACGTATTCCCTATCAATTGAAGAATATCTCAACCGCTCCAAATTAATTTTACTTAATGAATAATTTTCGTTATATATATGAAGCTATTTTGTATTATTTTTTGTGTGATGATTTCTAATAAAATTTAGGTGGACGCGACATTGTTGGTGCGTCTCTCGCTTATTAGTAAAAATCTCTAACCTAATCGGGAGCTACTCTCATATAACATAATATCATATTCTTATATAATATATCAATAATAAACAATTGTATAACAAGAACGTAATACAGGCAGTTAGTACCTAAGATTCGTCCGGCATGTTCCGTCTCCGATCGACGCCGTGCTTTTCGAGAACGAAGTATACGACCATTTTGACTCCCCGGCGTCCGTTTAGCTTCGACAGCTCCCGTTCGTAGAATACGATGCGAAACGCGCTCGCACGCCGCGCTCTGCGCTCGAGCTGCAAATTATACTCTCATATATAAACATAATTATACTCTTATACAATATCAACGATAGCGAATTGTATAACAAATAACGCAATACGGACAGTTAGTACCTAAGAATCCTAAGATTCGTCCGGCACGTTCCGTCGCCGATCGACGTCGCGCTTTTCGCGTACGAAGTAACGGCCATTTTAACTCCCCCCGGCGTCCGTTCCAGCTCCCGTTCGCGAAATACGGTGCGAAACGCACCCTCGCGCCGCGCCCTCCGCTCGAGCTGCAAGGAGACGAGCACGAGCTTAATTAGCGCATTTCGATCGTGCAGCCATACAACCGCCGCATTTCGCATTCGACGCCTTCGACGGCACATACTTACGCTCCGATCGGGGAAGACGCTCGACGGGCGCGCGAACGAGCCGAAAAGTGAAACAGCCAAGTTTCAAATTGGGGAAGGTGGAGGAGTGGGGGTAGGAAGGACCGGTGCGCGGCGGAACGTTTGAAACGGGACGCACGTCGGTCGGCAAATCTCATCGACGAACGAGCGAAAATTACCGGCGCGGGTGTCAGTCGAGAGGTATCGTGCGGAATTCGATCGTACGAATGTTTCATTAAATTTTTTTAAAGCGTCGCGATTTTTCGGGACACCGGGTGACGCGAGGGAACGATAAACTCGGAACGGCGGGACGGAACGACCAATGACGCGCGAGGCGCACGGGCGCCGGCCAATCCCGGCGAACCACATGGACGCGTCGCGTCGGCTGACGTCGTCGTCGGCGAGCGAGACGCGTTGCGTCACATGGGCAATGGGCACGTACGTACGAGCGACACGGTTGACAAGCATGCCACGTTTTGCCGCCCGGAGCGAGATCGTCGAGTACCGCGAGGAGAGATGCTGTCGGCGTTCGTTTACGGCTGTTACGTACGTCATGGCAAGGCCTCTCACGTGAAGGCTCCCGCGAGGCGCGGGGATGCCACGGGCTCCACGTACGATATGCCACCGAGACTCCTCGTCCCCTTCGTCTTCATCCTCGGGATCGCGATCGCTGTTATCAGTACGCTGGTGTCGAGATACATCGACGTCGATTCTACGGGTGAGCTGAAATGACCGCCTTTTCGAGAGATTGGGTGCTCCGTTTTTTTTTTTGTTGCGTACCATTTCTGACAGCTCGCAGGGCATAGATATCTTGTCTCGCAGTGTATCAGTCGCATGCTGCGATTTGAAGAGAAACGAAAAGCGACGGTTAACGTCATGATGTCACAAGTTTATTTTATCGCCTTCCAGAACAGGAACTCCATCACGGCCGTTCCGTATTTGTGCCACTTACCTCGGAAGGTATTTTGGACGTCTACGATGATCATATGCTCACCATTTCGCAGAGCAACACCCAGCTCGGTAAGGTTCAGTGCACCGCGGCGTCGACAGCGGAGGCCCTGACATCTCTGCACTTAGCCCTAGACATGAAATTATCTGGGAAGCAGGAGAAAGCTATAAAATTGTTTCAACACGCGGTGGCGTTGGCGCCTTGCCATCCCGACGTCTTGAACTATTATGGGGAATTTTTGGAGCACACGCAGAACAACGTGATCAAAGCCAATGAATTTTACGTGCGCGCTTTAACTTACAAGCCGAATCACGAGGGTGCTTTAATAAATAGTCAAAGGACAGCTCGCGTAGTCGAGGAACACGATAGAATAATGCTCAGGCGCATCGACGACAAGAGGAACACGCTGTCTAACATACCTGACAACAATGCTGCATTGATACGCGCGAAAAAGGAGGCTTACTTCCAACATATCTATCACACAGTCGGGATCGAGGGAAATACTATGAATCTGGCACAGACGAGAGCTATAGTCGAGACCCGTATCGCAGTCTCTGGAAAGAGTATCGATGAACACAATGAAATCATTGGATTAGACGCTGCCATGAAGTATATCAACGCGACCTTGGTAAATAGGTGAGTTTTTACAGCACAAATAATTTTACAAAAGCAATAAAAGTGTTTTTGTTATTGCTAGTTTAATAATTATCCATAAATACGTTTCAGGGTAGGGTCTATCTCCATAAAAGATATACTGGAGATACACAGGCGTGTTCTGGGACACGTAGATCCCGTTGAAGGCGGCCAATTTCGAAGGACTCAGGTGTACGTTGGCGGCCATATACCTCCAGGTCCCGACAGTATACATTACCTGATGGAGGAGTTTGTATTATGGTTGAACAGCGAACAAGCCATCAGGATGCATCCAGTGAGGTGAGCGATTCTCACATTTATACCGCGTGCTCTCCCTTTACTGACACCAGTCGACAAAAGTGTTATTCCGTCTTTGTTACTCATTGAATGCCAAGAAAGAGGTAGAACGTTTGTGTCGACTTGTGTCTTATTAAATGGAAAGCACCCTCTATGTGTATTTTCATTCGCATTTATTTTTGTTTAAGATTTTCTGAGAGGATTCAGCAAAGAATATTAATCGGGAAAATTTCCTTTACAGATACGCGGCTCTCGCACATTATAAACTGGTACACATACATCCATTTACCGATGGAAACGGCAGAACGTCCCGCTTGCTCATGAACATGATACTCATGCAAGCTGGATATCCACCTGTTATTATTCACAAACAGCATCGCCATAAGTATTACGAGTATTTGCAACTAGCCAACGCCGGAGATGTTCGACCATTCGTGAGATTCATAGCGGAATGCACGGAACAGACCTTGGATTTATTCTTATGGGCGACTAGTGAATTTTCTCGACAAGTTCCTGCACTGAGTCAAGAGACGTTGTTTACGGAAAAGCACAATACGATTATTCTAGAGGATGATAACAATGAAATACTGGAAAACGATTGAAAACGTAACGTCTGAAGTATTTTTGAGACCAAAGAACGTTAATATTATTTATATTCAATATCATTATTTATTGATAATTAAAATTTTTAAAGTTTGAAAGTTAAACTAGGCTTAAATAACATACATAATCTAAAAATTGAGATGATCTAACGAGATAATCTAACGAGAATATCAACAACTGTTAAAATGACATTTATCCACGGTATCAGAACTGAAGCATACTTGTTCTGTGCCTGTTGACGTGTGATCTAAATGTATTGTTATTTATGAGCTGCCAATTTTACCACGTGTCCATGTAAATACGAATCTCTTCCATTCTCTACTTAACATAGAGTAAATTAATTTATATTTATAGTGTATATAATAAATGTGATAGCAAATTACGAAAGTACGTATTATATATTAATTTACAACGGGAGCAAATTAACATTGTCTCGATTATGGAGAAAATCTCATCATGTTATTCAATTAAAATTGTTATTAAAATTATTCCATTAGTCGCTTTATTAAAATTAAAATTAAGTGATTAATAGAATAAAAAGTGAGATCTGCTATGTGTATATTTGCTTGGGTGTAAGGTGTAAGACTAATATTTTTCGGGCGAATTTTGGAACCTGTTGATACCAGGTCTGTTCTTTTCAGCTAAACTTTTTGCACAGTTCGCCTTCTTTTTTCCCTTCAACGTGAAAAGAAAAAGGAAAGATAAACCGTACAAGAAGTTCAACTAAAAAGGAACAGGCCTATCGACTGCGTTCATTGCGATTGGTCTCTAGACTTAACTTCCGGAAAGAACCAGAGGCAAGAACCAATCACGTTAAAGAATCGCTATTGCGCTGCACTTTTCGACTCGATGCGCATTAGAGCGCGATTGGCCCGCGTCCCGATTGGACGAACATGGCGATTCAGACGCAGCGTTGCAATAAGCGCCTTGCCTCGGCGCGATTCGCGCGATTTCCCGAGTAAACATTCGTCGTGCACACTTGCACAGTTGTCGCCGCGTGCGAGGTGGACGTGTATGCGCGCGCGCGTCGAGTATCGCCGAGTGTTCCGCGCGGAGTTGACGGGACCGGGGACGGGACGGGGAGTCGAATCGCAGGTTTCGTGGAACGAGGTGAGGTGCGCGAAACCTTCGTGAGTTCGCCGTTCGAAATTCGGGGGATCTGAGAGCCGGAGGGTTGGCCCGGCCCGTCGCCGACGGTCGTCGTAGTATAGCTGTCGACCCCGTGCACGTTCGGAATGGTAACGGGGCGAGATCGCGGCGGGCGCAGCGACGCGGGACGGCGGTGCGCCGCGATGCGAGATTGATTCGGGATCGATCTCGGACGTCCGTTGGCGTTTCGCGGAATTGGCCGTCGGGCGCGGGTGCGAGGGGCCGGCCAGCCCAACAGCACCACGGCAGTCGAACGGCGCAATCGATAACCCCGCGGGCGCTTTTTGCGCTGGGCCGAGAGATCGTAATGGCGAGAGCGTGGCGTCGATGGACGATAGGCGGCAAGAGTGGGAGACAGTGGTAAAAACAAATGCTGAATCGCCAGGGAGTCGCGCGTAAGTTGATGCGAGATGTTGCGACGAGAGCGGTGGCGCGCGCGGTATCGGCGCGGCGGGAGCCGCCGCGGTGCGCGGTGCTCCCGCACCCGCACACGCCGATTCGGGGAAGGGTGTAGTCCGCGCGGCGTGCGCTTCCGGCGCGTCAGGTTCTTCTCTCTTTCTCTCTCCTCGCCTCTTTTTTTCCTCCGTTCGACGGAAGCGCTCGCTGCTCGCTCCGCGGCGCGCGGTTAACCATGCACCATACGCGCGACGTTAGCACTCCGAACACTCGTTGGACCACCTTGCCCGTTTTTTTGAAAACGCGCCTGCCGCGCCCGCAAAACTATATTCGCTGACAATGTCGCTAAATAAATTTAACGAAGGACGGAGATACTTACTTGACTGGGACGCGGGGTGAATTTGCTTCCGTATTCCAATTCGAAGTCAATAAATCGTTAATATCAAATTGGCTAAATCGTATTTCTGTAACTGAGATTTGTAACTTTTGCCAGACAAGTGGCCAAGATATTCCATCGGAATTTGAAATATCCAATTATAATATTTATGGGATTTTGCTCTTTGTCGCCGAGTTGACGTAGTGGTGGGAGGAGCATGCCAAAACTCACATTTCTATAAAAATAGCATCGCAAAAATTCGGATGGGTGACCGACGAATTCACGCTTTGTCCAGCAATAAAAGAAAACTCATCTTCTGAAAAAAAAGCGAATCTAAAGTTGATGGAGCTGAAGAGTTTTGAATATATAAATATAAATATAAATTGAATAGTACACACGGATTATAATATATCACTCATATGAATGCATTGAAATATACACATTAATATATACAAATTAAAGCGTATATATCCATTTTGTAATTTGAGAAGTGAGCTTTGGTAAAATCTTAAGCAAAAGTTTGATTTTTTTCAAAAATTTGAATAAAGAATAAAGCTCATTGTTCGTGTAAGATAGAATTGTCCCATTTTGCATACTTTATTATAAATCGAGAAATATCTATGATTTCAGATCGCTGACGAAGTTTCTTTATAGATGTGGACAAGAATATTATGTGTATCCGTTACTCTTGATTGATACGTCATCTTTTAAATATGGATGACGAGGAAGGAGCCTCAAGTTCTGGACCTATGTCTTCGTTAAACAGTTTATTCTCGTTCACCAGCCCGGCTGTGAAAAAATTGCTCGGCTGGAAGCAAGGGGACGAGGAGGAGAAATGGGCTGAGAAAGCAGTGGACTCGTTGGTGAAGAAACTCAAGAAGCGAAAGGGCGCGATCGAGGAACTGGAGCGTGCGCTGAGCTGCCCTGGAACGCCCAGTAAATGCGTGACGATTCCTCGAAGTTTAGACGGTAGATTGCAGGTTTCGCACCGCAAGGGTTTGCCGCACGTGATATATTGCCGAGTCTGGCGATGGCCGGACCTCCAGTCGCATCACGAGTTAAAACCGCTGGACCTGTGTCAATATCCATTCTCTGCCAAGCAGAAGGAAGTCTGCATCAATCCCTATCACTACAAAAGGGTGGAGAGCCCGGTACTGCCACCGGTATTGGTTCCTAGACACTCGGAATATGCTCCCGGCCATTCTCTGTTGCCATTTCAGCAATTGGCCGATCCAAGCATGCCGCACAACGTGTCCTATTCGTCTAGCGGTTTTAACGCCGGTTCTACGAGCGGCGTTAATCCGACGTCGCCCATGTCCTCCGTCGGTTCCGTGCCCAGTCCCGGGAGTACGACTTTGCCAAACCCACAGAGCCCGTACGGTACCAATGGATTACCGGAGACACCGCCGCCAGCGTACTCTCCGCCCGAAGATGGCTCTCAGACCGGGCAAACCACGTCGTCGGACTCGGTTCCAATGGACACGAGCACGCCAATTGAAACAGCTACAGCCGTCTGTTACCAAGAACCACCTTACTGGGCCTCGATCGCCTATTACGAACTGAATTGTCGGGTGGGCGAGGTGTTTCATTGTCACTCGCACTCCGTGATTATTGACGGCTTTACAAATCCGAGTAATAACAACGATCGCTTCTGTCTCGGGCAGCTGTCCAATGTGAACCGAAATTCTACGATAGAGAACACGAGGCGGCACATAGGCAAAGGAGTGCATCTGTACTACGTTGGGGGAGAGGTTTATGCTGAATGTCTCTCGGACTCCGCGATATTTGTACAATCTAGAAATTGTAATCACCATCACGGCTTTCATCCCAGTACAGTTTGTAAGATTCCACCGGGATGTTCGTTGAAGATATTCAACAATCAAGAATTTGCCCAGCTTTTATCGCAAAGCGTGAACCATGGTTTCGAAGCTGTCTACGAGTTAACGAAGATGTGTACGATTAGGTAATTTAACATTCACAACATTCTTGTACAATAAGAAATTTTAGTAATATAATTACATTTATTATTCTGTTGGTTACAGAATGTCTTTCGTAAAGGGATGGGGTGCGGAGTACCACAGGCAGGATGTTACATCGACTCCTTGCTGGATCGAAGCACATTTGCACGGACCTTTGCAATGGTTAGACAAAGTGTTAACGCAGATGGGTCCGCCTCACAATGCCATAAGTTCTGTGTCATAAGTAATATGCACGCATCGCAGAAATTTATTTTAAAAGAAAAGGACAATTAGTCTCGATGCACTTTTAAGAGTTTATATATATATATTGGCTGGTATTTGCCACACACATGTGAGAGTTACGGAGACTGTGCACAGACGAGATACAATTACAGTAAGTTGCCCTCAGCCCTATGTTATACCTATGTTAAAAAAAAATAATATTTTATGGAGAAAAATGATAATAAAATGAGCGAGAAATGTAATGTTCAAAAGAAATATATAAGAATTTACGAGAAATTACGCGAGAAAAAGATATTCAATGATCTTTGGGAGTTATCGTAATCGCGGAATGTATACACTTAGACGCTGTAAAACTCTTTGGCTGTTACATAGGGACAGAATTGTGTATATATAGAGATATAATAATGGTATATATAAAAAAAGAAATATTTTTCAAATCTATGCATCAGCCTAATACTTTATTTTATACGGAGACTTATTGTGGAGGTATTTGTCAATGTTGTAATACAAACAGAATCCTTTTAATTGAAGCCTTAGACAACTTTAAAATTGATTGTGATGAAAAAAAAGAAATATATGATTGCAATTGCTTGATAAAGAAGAACATCAGTTCTTCAAATTATAGGAAGCGAAAAGAAAAGATATTTTCTGTCGTTTAAATTAAGCATAATCTCACGATTATGTCTGTTAAGTTACGTGTGTGCTTTAAAGTACATTTACGTCTATAATGTCTATATAGATCTACTCAAATTTATCGTTAAACGACTTATAATAGTGCGGGCTCTTATTGACTACGTGTACGACGGCTTGTAATCCGATTTAATAACTACTGTATATACTATCCGATCCAAAATTTTTCTTCTTTTGATCATAATAATCATTTAAATATGAGCTTTTTTGATACTTAAACTACAACTTTTAGTATACAATATATATCAAAGATTGTTTCAAGTGTTCAGAGTATCAAAATAGGTTCATATTTAAATGATCGTTATGATCGGGAAAGAAAAATTTTGGATCGGATGGTATACGGTAGTTACTAAACCGGATTACAAACCGCTTTGTAAACGTAGTCATCGATGAATGATGCGATCTATATTTCAATGTAAGGTATTGGACGTTGATCTCATGTTGACTATCGGAAAAGTTAACTGCGTCCGATGATATGTTGAAACAAACTCGCTAATCTACAAAAAGATCTATGGTTTGCTCCATCTCTATGTACATTACATTGCATTGTACTCTTCTCGATTATTGTATTGTGCAACATGCTTTCCGTATTGCAATTCCTAAAAACAGTACACGGTTAGGTAAGTTTTATGTGTTATAAATATATGAAATTTTATGTGCTGTATATATATTTCTGTATGGGAATTGTCCTACACACGTATATACAAGTGTGTTGTGTGTATGTGTGTGTGTAATGGAAAAGAAGTCATCTATTAGTAAGTTTATACATTGCTTGACGAAAAAGTTACGTTTATTAATTGATTGGAGCTAAGCTTGATATTACGTTTGTTACTTTTTTTACATTACGAAAGGTGCCAAAAAGAATTGAAATATTCGCATAATATGTTAATTTGACGCACTGTGATATTTCATCAGAGAAATGCAATTTTTTCATTGTATGTAATCACGTTTTCAAAGTCTTAAATCGAGTATCTCGAAAGTACACAGATTTCTATGAGTGTCTTAAAGCCGTCAGATATTAACAGTGCCTAATTATAGACAATACCATCTTATTTCACTGCCATTTGCTGTCACTAGTTTTGCCGATGTGTGCCTAGCTGTGATTCTTTGCTATTTGGCAAATTTGCGATTCGGTGATAAACAAAAGAAAGTATGAAGGGGAACAAGGCTACTTATTTGGCTGATAGCGTTATAATTTTTCCATGTTAGATAAAAAAAACTAGTAAGAGATAAGCCATTTGCTTAATTAAGTGATAAAGAAAGAATAAGATGTAATTTATAATTGGATACAATTAGAACAGGATACAAACGTACAAACGTAAACGTCGACAGAATGTTTATTCGATATTGCATGTGGTACAATTGCGCTAAGTGCACAAGCGATGGAGACAATAAACGACGAATACAAAAAAAAAAGGTAAAATGTAAGATACTTTCAGCCCGTTTTAAGGAAAATTTATTGTTTGATACAATGGTAGTTAATCTGATCGAATTTTGTACGGGAGGAACCGATCAGTATTCTATATTAGAAGATAAAACTGTAAAAGTAAGTAGGAAAAAATGCTGTATGTTTATGGCCATTTCTGAATCTTCAAATTGGTTCCTTTCTGCAAGATATGATCTGATTTTGCCTGAGATATTTTATCGAGAAATGCACACAAATTAGAAATCTCTTATAGCGATCGTAATCCGCGTCGCTGAACTATTGAATAGCGAAACGATTAGAATGATGTTGCGAAATCTTTTCAACACGTTGAACTCTGTCACGTTCGAAACGAGCACGATGCATTACGATGTAAGATGTACATAGATAGTTTCTCATACGCACGATTATACTTGTAAGCTTATATTTCACGTTATCGCCACGTCTTCGTTTTCTTGCTAACTAAAAATCATTTATAGATTAACCGCGAAGCCCGTTTACAAAACGATCTTGCCTAAGCTTTTGCGCCTGATCCTCGAAATGAGCCTACTTCCTTTGAGGTCTGCGAATTGAGAATTCGACTTCAAACTTAACGCTCTCAAGAATTGATGGAACACTGTACTTTGTTGCGCACCGCCCAAGTTTGTGCCTTGGATGCCTTTTATATTATGTAGTTATAAAAGCGACATGATATATGCAATTTTTTAATGTAAAATAGCAGGAACGTAGGGGTGAAACATGTATCCGAAAGTGCACAAAAGTTTTCCCGTAAGAGAAGAAAATTGTATAAGAGTCCCCTCGATTGTTCGCATGTAAAATAAATGTACAGTTCTGTGTTTGCACTGCAATGTCACACATACTATAGTACACGTATGTATTAACGCTATGTATTAACGTCAGACGGGGAATTGCTTGATATCGAGCCTTATTTGTCTAACATATTTGTCCAATGATTACAGTCATGCGATATGAATCAAGTTTCGAGCACTCAAGCTACCGCGGAGAGGAAAGTTCTCGTGCCTTTGATATGTAGAAAGAACTGAGCGCATCTCCAATGATACATGTAAAGTGTGCTGCGAACCGATAAACTACTGGCTCTTATTGTTTTCAAACATGAATATGTTCCTATTTACATATTTGATATATTAACGCGTAATATACATTTTCCTTATTAATCTATCAACCGTTACGTCATTTATTTTCTTATCATTTTTAGATCAAAAAAATGCTCCAGGCGTCCGTTCGTTAATCCTGACATAGAAGCGCTCGGTTCCTTTTATAGAAAAGCCGTCTATTAATGTAAAGGCCGTGAAGAATAAATAGATGAGCGATTGAAGTGCGAAGGTGCGATTTGGAAACGGGCTCGCGCGATATATTCCGCACGCGTCAGTGACGCTGTAAATATATTAAATCTTGATAGCCGTGTTTGAGAGAGAGCACGTCTCTTCGGAATCCATTCCACATTATTGTACCGTTAGAGAAGATAACCGCGGGTTTTTTTTTTTCTTTCCCCCTTGTGCGATTTCTCGAGACGCTCATGTGGCTGCATCGTGTTGTTCACAACTATCAGCGACGACGTAGGCACACGAGCTTCCTCTATCTCTGTACAGCCGCCACCTCTGCGAGAAAATAGAACGTAGTTATCGTAAAAACAATACGGAGTTGGACGCGCGTTAGCCGCCAAAATCGTGGCACATAGTACATTTTATTTCGCACGTTCTTCTTTTCTTTCTGGTGAAAAAGACATTTTATGTACAGAACGACATTTTTAGTTGTACGTACATACATATATGTAACGTATGTGTGTAGGTATATGTATATGATGTAGTGAAGAGATGGTAGAAAATCTTTGTGTTATATGTGACATATTATACGGTAAGAGATTAGACCTTTAATGAAAAACTAGCGTAAATGGTTGACTTAGTTGAACAGGTCTGCGTATACAAAGTATGTACTTTGTTACCACGGGAAAAAAAAGAATGAAATGTTCGAACACGTCCCAGCACTGATTGAGCGCTCCGTGCACCGATAAAGGATTTCCGTCGTCGTTGCCGTCGGCGAAATTTTTAGGCCCGGCAGGATAATGGCGTCCATGGGACTTAGGGTAAATTCTTCGTGATCAGCTGTAACATGTATCGTTCGGCATAGACGGCATATAAATTATCCGCTCGGTCTCCACGCGCCTTCACCTGTGCTGTCCACGCATGCATTTCTGGTAATCGTTGTCTTGTGCAGCTCTACCAAGTATGAAAATAAAATTAATACCTACCTGTGTATCTATATTGAATACTTGTACTCGTTACGCAATTACGCCATTTGATCACCCATCCCGGATCCCTTCGATGCGTCGACTGAGATTTTACTGGTAAAATTAAGTAGTATTGCAAAGATCGTGCTCAAAATCAGAAAATAAGTACATGCGGTTTTACTACGTAAGAAGTTCTATAAAAGTAATCTCTCCCCTACTTATACATATTTTCTTTTCAAATCTTATCAAGATGGACTGATCAGGATGAGGTGAGGAATGTAACGGAATGTTCATTTTCCAATCTGATTTATTTCATTCATAAAGCAACAACGTGAAACCTCTCTCATACGTATCCAAAAATGTTCTGTGCACATCGAATTAGGATAGTTCAGAGGTCGACTATTAATTACGACATATAGTAGGGGTAGGGACGGGGAGTATGTGTCGTACGTTTGATTTACTCATCTCCCTTCCGCAATTAAATTATACGATTATAAAAAAATAAGAAGTATACTAACATCTTTCGATTGCTAAGCCTCTCACATCTCTCCCTATCGCGCTTCTATTCATTAAAAAATACTATATATTCGAGGTGATGAAACGCGAATCCTTTTCGTGGTGTCTTAAAGAAAAGCTAAATTATAAATCTCGACGATGGGAACATACTCGTATGCCTGAGCTACGGCAGTCGCCAACTGCCTCGAAAACGTTTAGCATTTTCTTAATCAAGGCGACATATATTTAGCAACCATCGGAAAACGTCGGATATGTAGCGAGAAACAACTTTTTCGACGAGCGAAGCATGACTCTAATACGTGGTCATCGCAGCTTCCGATCGATAATACACGCCCGATACGTTGAATTAAATTAGAGCATGCCCTCGGCGGCACGCGCTACCATCTTATTTACCTTTGATACAACAGTAATCTCAAACAATTTCTTCAAACAACTCCGCTATGAGTACTCTTCATATATTTATATAAAAAATCGTAAATCTTGTGTCAACACAGATGTCAATGTTCCGTTACTCCCATCTATCCACTCTATCCGCGCGTTATTATTGTTACTTTGTTAATTTATCTCTAAGCTTTCAAGACCGAGAGCAACTTCCCTCGAGTTACAATTGAAACGATTCTCTACACGTAATAATGATTGTTAACTCGCGAGTACACGAGAGGATCTTACGCTCTTATACAGGAACGGGAATCCGGGATAAAATCATCAAGAGAGATAAAGTCGTGTGACGTGCGATACGCGTTATATTAATCTTCTTAACTCTCTATTGTCTAGTGCGACTGCAGTGCGATATATATCTCCTTGCAATTGGTATTGTAATGCGATGTATGATCCTCGACAAATCGTGATAAGAAACTAGTCGGCCTGCATGAATAAGACACGGTAAATATTTTAGAGACCGTAAATATTTTAGACAAATACTGAGAATGTCTTGTCGACATTAAAATATTTAAAAAACAGTATATTTTAAAAAATTACTGCGTTTCTTAAATTATACACGAATGCTGAACACTGATTGTGAACCCTAGCTCTGCTTTCTACGATTTATTGGAGGAGTTTTATATTTCCGGCCAAAGAACATTGATTCCAGGTATTATTATAATATTAGCATCATATTTGTATCGAATTTTTGTCGCGATGCATTTTAGAGAATGTAGAGATCAGAAATGGGATAAGATAAGAATTTATTGCTTTATATAACTTACGGATATCTTACGGATTCGATTTTCTTTGCTTAAAGAAAATATGTCGATAGGGGGACCATTACCTTCACTTTCACTGCAGTAGCTATAATCATGAAAATCGACGGTATTCCGTTGGACGTATCCATAGTAAAGCTTGTGAAGCTTGCGCGCACGCTGAGACCGCTCCGCGAGTATTGAGTATTGATTCAGTAGAGTGAGGAAGAAAACACAGGCGTATGCGTTGATAAACCAAATGAAGATTTAATCTCATACTTTTAATAACGTAAGAAAAAAAAGAGGACCGTTTGTGAGATGCCGTCGACGATATTAATACTAAGAAACTTAAATATCCGGATCAGCGCCGCTGGGTAGTTTCCTTCTTACGAACTAAGAGTTACATCTTTTTCTTTTCCTCCTCTCGGAAATCAGTCGTTATTTGGTTCGCGAAAGAAGTCGATCGCTACGCGTGTGTATGTATGCACTTGTACGTATGCGCGTGTTAATGAGTGTGTACAAAGTATCGTCGTGACATATCTGCTTTCTTTTCTGACAAATCGGCTCACTAAGGCTTTTTCCTTTATCCAATAATACACTGGGTCCCTCGTAATAATACGCCTAGCATTCTACAGCCTAAAAAAAAACGAGTGTTCATTTGATGGTGTGGAGCTTACGCATTATCATTCGCAATGGTGCTTCGCATCTAAAAACGGATAAACGGATACAATTGAGTATCGACGTGTCGTTGACGGCTTAAAATTTTGCTGATCTCGGTGCGGCCCGAAAGTATGTAAAACACGTAAAAACTCGTTTCGAAAAAAAATATGCAATTACGTATTGAACTTGGATCCCCGAGCCGAAACAAACGTGTTCGTTTATTATCTTCGCGAGTGGCTCCGTATTCGCTTTAAAATTTCCTACGATTCCAAGCTAAAAGAGGCGTTAAAGAAAAATCCTGACTAAAAAATTTCTTCGCCGACTCCGGCCGAGATAAACGTATCTGATACGGTAAAAATAACAAATTGTTAATTTCTCGCTGGTGAATTCTTAAGCGATTATTGTTATTATGCCTGCCGTACTTCGGCTTCCTTACATATCCCTTCCTGTGGAATTCCTTCTTCTTACTCTGTCATCTTGCTACGGAGGATCATTCGAGAAGAATCGTTATATGATACAAGATATGATTGCTAAGATGAGATTTACGAGTCGAGCTCTTTGCTGCCTCGACGGCGTATATTTCGTAGCAATTTCGAAGGCAAGATGAAGTTTTGTTACATTTTGCGTTTTTTATGGACTGTCGCACTAGTGTCATGGTAAATCTGCTTCTGGCGCGCGCGCGCGCGCACTTGTACTTAAAAATTGATACACACATAAGAAGCGGGCTTTTTTCACCGGTGAGAGACAATTACTTTTTGTGTCTTTTTTTCGCGTTCGCTAGAAGGGTTCGTTATAACATCCTTAATTGTACCGCATGGTGATGTTGCGCGATCGGGTCATCTTCTGACTGATTTGTTCCTCCTGCAACAGCTGCCCGCGGAACTGGCTGACTTGGTCGAGCGCGGCGTTCAGAATGTCACGTTGCTGTATTAACAACTGCTCCCACTTTTGGGCATATGCTGCAACAGATAACACGCACACCCGTCAGAGCACCCAAGAGCATGATTAGACACATCGGCTTAGCGTAGTTAAGGATTAAATCGGATATACATAGAGATGACGTATTACAAAGTGAACGCTGGAGCTATTTCCCCTGCTTTATTCGAGCATCGTGTTTAGCTTTACATCTTCTTAAAACGTGGATAACAGACACATATTTGTCATCGAGTTTCATTGCTGCTTTAGTTCGTCCAGCCGGAGACGTAATGCTGAGCTTTTTGATCACAGTTTTTGTAACAAGTTTAGTAACGTCTTAATGCTTCAGCGACAATAAACACACATGGCAATGAAACTCATAAAAATAAAAAAGTTACAATGTTAATTAAACGATAATCATTAGTGATTTGAAATAAGAGATGATACCTAAAGCAGCTTAAATCTAACTTACTTCCAACTCGCTACTTGAGTTGTAAATAAAAGGCGCTAGTTTTACATGAAAGCATAGTTAAGAAAATTAATAAGAATGTTTTGGTATATGTTTGCACATTAATGACTTATTTGTAGCTGTTTGTAAGTTAGTCTGAAAGCGCCTGAAGTTACAGGATTAAAATGTGAACATTATTTGTAACATGTAAACGTATAAATGTAATTAAATATCGATATCGTTACACAAATTGAAGCTTAAGCTGAGCACACAAGCCAGACTCATTGAGTAGTTCTCTTATAAACGTATAATTATCCTTAACGTGTGACGTTGCTATCAGTTTAATAATCCACAAAAATAACATTTACTAACAAGAATTCGGTTTGCGTACATACATAAAATAATGCGTTCACGCTTCTAATGTGTACATGCTAATCATATTTTATATATAACAATATTAATTCCATGTCATTTAAATTGAATTTCTACAGCACACACACATATATATATATAAAATTATTTAGTTTCTATTTCACAAGATAACGTACTTGATAATATTATATTTAATAAAATAAAAATATGCAACAACAATAAAAGAAAAGAAAAATGTTGAGTTTACCCTCCCAGGATATCCGTTTGCCTTCTAAGAAAAATATAAAGTTTGATATTAATACTGTAAATCTGTCTTCGTAAAAATATTGCTTCTACATATGGAGGGGTAAAAGCCATCCTCGTGTAAGTCAAATTTTTTAAAATATTGACTCGTGTGCATAGAAGATGCAATCTATACATTGTATAAATTGCATCTATTCACACCCGATTGAAATGCATGTGATATCCAGATGACGAAATAATGTGATGCGTATCATTAGTACATATGGTGCACATTAAAACAAGCTGTTTCTCTGAAACTATTTTATAGAATTGTTAATCGAATAATATTGTCGTACCGTCCGAAAATAGTTTTCTCTCTATAAGACGTCTACGCAACGAGAAACTCCTCAGGTAGGGTGACTCAAACTTTGTTCTTTTCCGCCTCAAATCTGTAACGTTTTCTGGTATTACATTAAATTTCTCCTACAGGTATACAATGCAATGTGATTTTTATATAAAGTGTACAAGTATAGGCACCTAAAAAATTTTATTTGCTATGCTATAATTTCCAAACTATGGCCAGCCATATTTTTTGTAAAAACTAACAATATTGATAAAATACTTATGTGATTTAAATAAGTGGCTCGTAATACGTTTATAAAAAATGTCATATATATTGTAGTGAATTTTGTGTATTAAAAAATACTGTTTTAAAATTAAAAAAAATCTTAAAATAGAAACTAGTTCACAAGATAAACGACGAGTGCTGCGCAAAAAATACAGTTACAAAATCAAATACATTTAACATCACTATGGCACACGTAAAATTAGTATTTATAACATTTCAAACGTGCATACAGTCAAGTGCTCGAAGGAATGCATTTTCATTCAAATTAAATTAAAAGATTAAAATTATGTAACAGCATTTCAAGTTTTTTTACACTATACTACACACACATATATAAAAACATAAAATATTGATTTTTGATATCACTAGTCTATCCTAAATATGAATGAATAAAAATAATAATAACATATAAAGCATAAAATTAAAATTATCTTTTTAACCTTTAACGCCTACAGGCTGAGGATTGATCTGCATGGCTGTTTTATGCAAATAATTATATGTTACCCTGTTTTTTATCCTCTCTCTCTTGTACATAAATAAAAAAGATAATGTACGCTGTTGGCAGCAGCGAAAACAAAATAACGTTTTTCAAGAAAGATAGCAGTGAATACAAAATTTTATAGCAATCTAATTGAATAGCAGATTTCTCCTCCGGATAATTAATCATCTTTCCGATATTTGATTTGATATTTATCGAAGGATCGATAAACTCTTTGACAATGCAAAGATTATCTTCCTTATTAACATTATCGATGTCATGTGCAAGTTGAGAATATAAAATAATGCTATTGTTTGTTTGCGAGTCCACGTCATACGTATTCTCATTCTTATTGCCTACATCCGTCATCTTTCTTCGTCTTAAATTTATATTAACGTCAGAAAATTCTGCCGGCAACGCGCTGTTATCCTGATCAGTATCGTAATCTTTAAAATTGTTACGTCCCTCAAAGTTGTCAGTACAAATGTCAGTACAAGGCTGGCAGCCGATCCAATCTTGCCATGAATCGTCGACAGCTTGTGGATCAAATTTGTTCGGGTAGAAAATATCTCCCTTGCTCCCGGATTTCTTTTTCACGAAGTCCTCGCAGTAACAATTGTAATTCGTCAGACTACTTATGGCGTGCGATTTTTCCTTGCGAGGCGAATAATACGTGCTACAGGATGTGCCTGGGCTTGTTTTAGTACGGAATGTACCAGACCAGTGATATCTATTCTTTTTGTCACTAGTGGACACTTTCACCCGTTGACTTTGATTGGATCTTTGAATAGAACGCACGGGCGTGCCTTTATTAATTGAATTCTTTCTGGCAATTCGACCGGGCGTCATGCTTTTCTTCGTGATATTGGACCTGACAGGCGTACGAGGAAGAACGCCCGAGTCTTCCTCGGTGTCATTCGAACTGAAATCGCTTCTGAACTCCATCTCATCCTTCCAGGGAGAAGACATCAACGAATTCTTCGCGATCGTATCTACTTCCGTTGTGTTTAAAGTCTGCGTGTCGCTGTCCGTGTCGTCGTTTATTATCGTCGCGTTTGTCGAGCTGCTGCCTCTCCGGTGGCGGTTTAACGTGATGATCGAATTTGCCTTAGTCTTACTGCGCGTATCTGTCATAAAATGCGATGCACTGTGATACCGGCAAGTACAACGTTTCGTACTTTTTCGTACTTTTTTAAGTCTTTACAAGATATTGGCGAAATAATCTCAACGACACGTATCGTCACTTAAAAGGGTTCGTTATTTATCGCCACATAATGCCTGTGAATTTTTATCATGAAAATTTTCACAAGTAATCTGACGTTAAAAGCCCTCATTGAATAATATCAACTTTCGTATTCGAAAACTGGTTTTCTTGATACATCAAAAAGAAAAAAAAATATGCTTCTGTGTGATGACACACGGAAGAAATAATTTATATATCTCGTTAACGAAAGTGCACCATCCAACACAACGCAGTGTACGAAAATTAAAGCGGTAACAAACGGAAAGCCAATAGAAAAACATAAATGTGCAAACGTTTATCTTACCTTCTTGATCGTAATCCACCTCATGAGTCGCGCTGAATACACTGTGCGCGTCATTAAGGAATTTAGTCGTATTATCCATGACCAGTTTGTGCGTATCCAACACTTCTTCTTCAAGCATCTGCAGAGCTGATACTGCTTCATGGAAAGTGTACAAATCTTGCGAGAGTTCACCTTCCTGTGAAGAAGAAAATCATTCGCATTGATAGTTAAATTTTAATTATTTAATTTTTATTATAATTATACATATAACTTTTTTAATTATTATTGTCATTATGCGTTGCACTTACATTGAGAGATCGAAGCTGTGCTAAATCGCTATCCGATAACACGCTATTGTTTCCCTGTTCCTCAATCTTCATACCCCTATCATCATCCGTCGGCGAAGCTTTTATTTCCGTAGGATCAGTTGCCGCCAATTCTTTCACTCGATCCGCGTATCTTAACGTATTTAGGGAGTGCTCGCAGGAACTCATCCCGGGACTAATCATCGCTATCTATAAACAATTAATATCCGTTCAAATGCCTGTCTCTCTTTTGATATCTCTATTTTATGATAATATAACTATGAAATAATTTACCATGCATGTTTTTGATTTTTCACCGATAAAACTGTCCCTTAATACTTGAGTCAATTTGCTTGCTCTAAAAGGCAAATGCGTACCCTTACGGCTTAACGCGCGTATACATTCTTTTAATGCTAACAGAGATTTATTGATCTCAGCACCTTCCATTCCTAAAAATTCAAATAGACATTTATTACGTCAGAAAGCTAAAGCAGACGTAGATCATTATTTATAATCACTAGCGTCATTTCGGTCGTCGTTAAGAATTAATTGTACATTTACTTACGAGTTTGCCTATTAGCGGACGACGTATCAGCACCCCTTTCATTACCAGCAAGATCGATAAGCGAGAACTTTCCGTGTACCTTATGTGTGCCCGGGATACGCGCTATTATTTGGAACACCGCGTGTGATCTCGATGAATTAGAATTAGCGCTCGTTTGACCGCTCGTTCTGGCGCTGTTTCCGTGCTGTATTAGCTTTAATACTTCGTCGCAAGTCTCCACGACCTTCTCTGTTAATCCGACTATTTGGACCTATTGTTGTTAGACATGAGAAAAATTTTGGAATATTAAGATGGAGCTAAATTGGATAACCACAAATAATTGCCAATTGATTTAGGAATCTATTGATAATATAATGGAAGATAGCCAATATGTGTAAAAATAAATTGAAAATGTGTAATATTGAACATAAGCAATTGATACAAAGTTTAATAACGATTATCTAGCAATTAGAGTCAATTAAAATTTTTTATTTCAATATAAAGCGAACCTGCTGTTTGCCGTCCTCCAGAACTCGCAGTTTCTCCTTATCTGCCAAAAGGTCAAACACCTTGCCGGAATAAATCTCGAAGAAGCTAGCGGAAATGACCAGATTCAGGGGCCGATACTTGGCCAGTTTGAGGCATTTGAACACGTCTTTGGCAACCATGGCGTAGATGCCCTTCTTGCAGTCCTGCGTCTTGCCATTGAAATCGCCGCCCATTGTATGGGTCTTGCCGCTGCCAGTCTGACCGTACGCGAAACACGTAGCCATGCCACCCTCGAAGATCGTCTGCACCAATGGTTTGGCTGTATACTTGTAGACGATCTCGTTGTTACACGTCTCATCGAACGCATAATCAAATCTGAAGATCTGATTTTCAAGATATTTGGTGAGGTCGACTTTGGACTTCGGCTCGTGCACCACCATCTGATCTTTGCTAGGCACGCTGATCACGTCGATCTCCTTGCGCGTGTGTTCTTTCTTGTTGAGCGGACGTTTCCTCACGCACACTGTGATCTGATGATTCTCCACGGGGTCGGTCTCTCGCAACGGCCTGAACTCTATGCTGTTTTGATATTCCCTGCAAATTAAATAAATACAAACCGATAAACAATAATGTCTCTTATCAATCATGAAACATTATCTAAACATATGGATATTCTACGAAGATCAACGCAATATTTATTTGAGGTATGTAACTCAAACGGATAATATTAATATTAAGTATTGAACAATATTTCTTAAACGATATTATATTTTAAGCGCAGAAAGTATGAAAGCCAAATCAACCTTATCATAGCCAAAAATTCCCAATTCGGATTGCCTGGATCCAGATTCATCAACGCTTCCTTCTCCTCTTTCAATTCCGCTTGACGTTGCCTTCTTTCTTCCCTGTTCTTCTTCAGTCTCTCGACTTCCTTGACGACATTGGATCGCCTACCCCGGCCGTTCTCTATCTGAGCTTGTTGCTGCTGTTGCTGCAGCTGTTGTTGTTGCTGCTGTTGCTGCTGCGCTTGTTTCTGCTGTCTGTTCTGCACCGGGGTCATCAGGCATTGCGTGACGGCCGCCGTCGGCGTCGGCGGTATGTTCTCGAGCTCCCGACGTCCGGTGAGGCCGGAAACCGATTCGCCGTGACCGTTCACCGACGTGGTTGATGGCATTATGTTCGTCGGGCGACCCGTCGGTCGTGACAATTGCCTATTCGAACCCGCTGAAACATTGGTATGAGGAAGGATTAATGATGCCCGCACTGTCCTCCTTACCCTCGGCGATCGAATCAACTTCGTCGAGATTAAAATCAGGCGAGAAACATAAATCATGTCTTTGGTCTCGCGTGATCCATCCCGCTTTTTGCTCGGTCCTTTTCACGCTTATGACGCCTCGAATCTGATAATTTTTTTTAAATCGCTATACATCCACGTAACAGAAGGAAAAAACTACATTTCTAACGTAAATAAGAAAAAAACTAAAAAAAATTATTAAAGTTTTAAACGTAATTGCACTTCGCCAATCCTTTGCGAAATCAAATAAAATTTAATTTACATTCATTTTTTAATTCACCCTTGCGCTCATCTCGAGATAAGAATCGCAGACAATTAGGCACATGTTTTCGCTCGATTATCAGCGGAGAGACCACAGAATCTCCAGCACGAGATTCGTCACACGCATTACCGGCATCGTCGTCTTCGATTCGAAGCGTCAGGATCCGATTGTTATCATCAGAGACGTCCGTACTTTCGCAGTCGCGGATTTTATTTTTCCTCCGGAAGCAATAAGCGAGCGGGTCGAATCTCATGGTCGACGCGGCATACGTGAGATCTCTTTAACTTCTAAAAACCGAACTGTCCGTCGTGAGAGAGGCGAACGGGAGCGACGTTCCGCCGGGTGGTGCGCACCGCCGCCGACGAGGTAGATCGAACAGTGCTCGAGGGAGGGTCAGCAGCGAAGTACACCCCCTTGGCTGGGTCTACACGTCGTACTGTAGGTTCTGTCTCGGGGTCCTTGCCCTTGTGCCGCCTGCCTTGCATACGGCGCACGAATATCGATAGTCACGGCTCGACCATACACACGTGCAGCCAAGTGTCTCGTCGACACTTGGCTTTATCTGGGTGAAAAGACGACGACGCACACGCGCTCAACTCGCGATGTCCGGTCACGAAATTGACTTATCGAACGCCGAAAGTTCGGCCGTCGTCCACGCTTATCGGCACGTGAATCGGGAAACACGTGGAAATTCGCGTACCGCGCTCGCCAATCTCTCTTTTCGATCGAACAAAGATCAGCGGAGTGGCGTGTAAGCGAACGCGCGCAATTAGTCCGGTTTCATTAAATTTCTATATCCTTTTTATTTAACGGTATAATCAAGACACGTTTTACCGCTGCAATTAGCGGCCATTACGATGAAAATTTATCTACGAAAATACAGACATCGGCTCGTTACATATGCGCGGAGTAAGTATGTTGTAATCGTCACGATTTCACTGATAACCATGCCGCTTATTTTAGCAAAGTGTAACGAGACAGGCATCGAATCTTCGTCGCTAACGTACCTTTCACTGGGATAGACAGCCTGGTGGAGTGCTGAAAATAAAGAAAACAAACTACGTTCAGTCATTTCAATTAAAGAGGATGGTGTTTTCTTCGTGCAACGAAGAGGAGTGTTTTGTCGATTTACAATATAAGAGGTGCTGCAAATGAAAAAAATAAATAAAACGGTGCTTCCTTCGAAGCCGGGTGTATGATACATCTTTTTGCCGACGTATTTCGCCAGAACGCGAGAGATAAGAAGCGGTTTATATCGATCGCTCGTTAATCACGCCCGCCCGTTCCTTTTACATATCGATCGCCATAACAACACGGTTTTTGACCCAGTCACGGTGTAGGGCAATCGCGCTGCGCGATCTTCCATTCCGTTTCACGAAACTGAGCATTTCCGCGAACGAAAATGAAAGAATGCCGTGTGGCGAGTTCTCGCTGACTATACGCTGGATATCCGCTAAGTCACCAGCCTAGCTAACTCGCTCAGCCACTCGGGATATCCATCTGTCCGAGACCCCATCAGATTCAAGCAAAGGGTGAAAAGGGTGCAAAAAGGGTGAAAAGAAACGTTAGCGACTAGCGGTGGATCTGTGCTCTGGTGGATGGGCATTTTGGGAAAAGCCGACGTTTTTCGTGATAGAGAAAATGCGAGGCTGCGAACGCTCTTTTAGCATCTTCCATGCGAGAGAAGCTTTTGACACGAATCTCAAAATTCAGGCAGATCAAGAAGGTCGAAAATTTTCTTTTGCAATTCAAACTACGTAATTTTTATCAGTCTTGAAAATAATATTTCAAGATAGTTATTTAAGGAACATTCATCTTAATTAAACAATTATGAACTTCACGATAACGGTGAATCATCAGTCTATCATGATACAATCGATTGGATACAAGTAATTATTTAACTTCACATATATCTTCCATTATTATTTCATGTCATGATAATGTTTCAGGATATTTTCCACTTGTATCAAACATTTATGGCATATAAATCATCGTGAAATTAAGATATATCATTTTCTCATTTGATTATTCAAAAGATACATGTATCTATGCTAGCTCCAATGGACAGTAGTCATAAAATAGTCATCTTCTGTCGAATTAAATAATTTTTCCTTTAAATAATTTCTAAAGAGATTGATTTATGTGCCGTATTTTCCATATAATTCCTTCGTGCATTACGACTCAAGTAATAAAATTCGCAATAAGATATCGTAAAATCGGTATCGTAAAACTCAGCTCTTCGAGCATTCTCGAAGATGCTAAGGTCAGTTCGGCGACCACGGAGGACGATTGTTGCTGCTGTGAGAGGGTTGTGTGTTGCGGTTGCAGTTGTTGCGGTGATGGAGGGGAAGGTGGTGCGCGTTACCGAGAGACGAGATGTGACTCGTACAGGAAGCGTTGCGGATGCGAGGCCGTTTCTCGTGGTGTGACCACCATGGCGTCCGAGGGAGCCCTCCTCTTGGTTCTCCGACTCGTCGACCCCCTCGTCCTCCTCAGCCGAGGAGTCCGGCTCCTTATCGCAGATCGTAGTCACGGCCAGTTTTACGTAAATCAATCGGACGATTATACCCGCGGTCGACGGAGCCACCGAGGGGATCGATGAGGGGAAAAGTCGTCAAAAAAGACGGCAATTTTGCGGATGAACGATGGCCGAGACGACGTGAGTTTCGTATTCAAGATCGGTTTGTTATCGATCAGTTTTGCCCGGGGATAGGTGGTCGGTGGTCCATCGTCGACACGAGGTCCATGATTATGAGCAGCGTCCATGGAGGAAAAAAAAGATGTTACCATGTTAGTAGCGGGAATGACGCGCGAGACTTTTTGACTTTTGTCGATCGACGTATTTACAGGCTCGAGAATTTCTTGAGGAGTTTTACGTTGTGTTCTAATATGTATTACGAACTGTTTATATGTATTACGAACTGGATCATTGGACACCCAAACCAAGGATTATTTGAATCCTGGGCTTGGTTCCTTGAATCCTATTTTCCTTGAGTCTTTGAATCCCATCACATCGATTATGTTACTTTTCAAGTTTCATCTAACTTTGTCTCTGACAAATAGTAATCAAAATATTCAATTTTCACAAATGTTCCTCCTCTGTTTAAAAATATAAATGCGAGTTATTCCAGAAGTCGATTTCTTTAAATTCAAAGTAAACTTTGCAATTTTTGATCCACATATAATTCAAGAATTCTGCTGCAGAGAAAGTACGCGGTTTTCGCGACACCTTGTGCAACATATATGTATATAGTCTATATGTATATTTGTATATATAGTCCACCGTGATTATATCGCATGACACAAGTATTACTAATAAGAAAAGTTAAGTCTACGCAATCAAACATCTACAAACTGTTTAGGACAAACTCAGGATCTACCTCAAAAAGCCTTGGTCTAAATCTACGAGAATGAAAGAAGCAACGAACGCACGATGCAAATTTTGCAGCGGAAGTCGCAATTGTTTATCTTAGACGCGGGCTCCACGTGACGGGGAAGCCGGAGACCTGACGAGATCAGACTCCGTGTCATCGTCACGTCAGATTCGAAGGCTTGCGGTGGACCGATTACGAGTGACGGGGACTCCTACCTGAAAGACGTATAGGTACTGGAACATGCCTACCGCGGTGCAAACGCCACGAGACGCGGGATCGGATTATTCTTTCCATATTAGGAGCGAGGTTATTTCACGTAGCCCGGGCAACCGGTAAACAGAATTCTGCCGAGGCAGTCGATGATCGACCGCGAATTTTACGCGGACACAAGACTTGCGTCGAGTTTGATTCGCAAAGTGGCATGCGCGCCGTCATTCACGGGATCAACGTCTGAATAATCGCGAGACTTTCGCGAGAGTTTGCTTATCTAACAGCGGTACATGTACCATTTCGCTTATCTGTCAGACCGATAAATAATTTCCGAATTCCTGTAATTTAAAATCTGTAAATTTAAATTAAGATTAAAATTAAAGCGGAAAATTATATAAGACCTTTCAGTTTCCGTTAACTCGTATCGTTAATTCTTTAACGTTTCTCTACATGTGCACTATTTTCCATTTTTATTTAGGAAGTCTTCGAGGTTCGAGATGAACAGAACGTGGAAGAGCGACAATTTCGCACCTTCCGTAATTTAATTGACAATTGATTCTACGAATATATGCTTGACAATGACCTAGAACGCACTATTCGACGTTTCGACTATGCGTTTTGAGAAAAGATAATTGAACTATACGTACCTTTGCTTTTGAGGACGCCAACATGTGGTTGTTCATCACTTGCGGTAGCGCACATATCTCGGTTCGTGGTCCCATCTTTTGGTTCAGATCGCGATTCAAGGCAAGAATCGCGTCGATTTCCACCTGAAAAAACATATATATATATTGTATATGAATCCAAATAAATTTGGATTGTCATTTATTTGTCTTGCATTATCTTTTACGGCATTATGGAAATTGATCATCACATAATTTCCCTTAAGACCAGTGAAGTTAATAGATTATGTGTCCAGCAGAATTATTTGAATAAGAGTAATATTAAAACTCCAGAGTTCACAAATTATCTCTATTTTCACGCAAATTACCTTTCGGCGTGGAATAAAACTTTGTTGGGACATTTTTGTAATAATACAAATCTTGCACAATTAATTCCGCGAATAGGACATAAAATTATGGAAGAATTAATAGAATCTTCGAAAAAAGCCTTGTGTTAATATCTATAGGAAGAATAATTAACGGGGTATTTAAATTCAATATTTAGCATTTAACTGTAAAATGTTAAACAAAGTTGCTATCGAAATTCGCGACTGACCGAAAAAAGAAATATAAAAGTTGTACGATACTTTATTTACAATTCGAAATTCACGTTCTCACGAGACTAATAGCATTGTATCGCATGACTTTTTGCAAAAGTCACGTTCGACCGAACCGACTTGACTGACGGTAAATCTGTGGACTTGCAAGCCTGTCGGAAATAGATTCGCGCCCCCGTTAGTGGGCTTCACGTTAGCCCTGTGGCATTGCATAAGCATTGCGGAATTGAAAATAGCTAAATAACCGTGACCTACGGATGTGCGGAATTGTAATATTGCGGTTCAACGCGGCGAGATTGCGAGAGAGAAAGTTAATCGTAGCGCAAATGTCAGATAAAAACATAGTTGGACACGTATGTTTAAGGTATGCGTACACAAATATACTGGTATTTTTAATAATTTCCACAAGAAAGTCGCAAGTAAAAAAAATACTTCCGAATTATTTCAACAGAGGAATTTTCTACTACACGCATTCTCTGTTTAATGTATAAAATTGTCAAAAATTAAAATGGTTAAAAATTAAAAAATGCTGTACAATGAATATCATATTTTATCTTTTAACAATGTAAATATTTTAATTAAATAAATTTCAAATAAATAAAAATAATTCTAAATTAAATCCACTCAATTTCAAAAAGAAAATCCGAACTTGTAACTCTCTGCTTTTGAGTAATTATAAATTGCTCAGAATAATTTATGAACGCACTTACCTCTTTGCCTTTGGTTTCTCCTCTCTCGAACCATTCTACAGTTACGGTGCGCTGCTCTAAATTAATACCGGAGACGACTGCCGAGTGAACGCGACCTGAAACAAAAATTGTACATTGCAATGTATAAGGATTGGAGTAATACGGTTATAATGATTACTCGACCAGTGAGTATATACGCGAATATTCGTTGTTTTACTTAACAAAGCGTATCTTATCTTCTCTATAGAAGGCTTTTATTTCATGGGTCAAATTAAGTGCCATAATGCATAATAAATAAGATTTAAATTAAACACATATTATTTCATTCAATGCAGTAACAATAATGCCAAGCTAAAAAAAAATAATAAGGCACTTCTTCATAAAAATTAATATCTCTTAACAGTAATTTAATCGAAAGCCATTTTCTAAGACCAAGAATTGAAAGGTGAGTATTACATTTCTATTTTTTCATTTTTAAACATCTTATGTGCATGTAATTTTTCAATATCCCATGTGCACATAATTTTTCATGCGCAACGATATGTTTTATACCATTTTGCACGATCTCTGATTTATCGCTGTCGTTCTTGATCGAATTCATTCCCTGTCGCAGTGGAGACGCAAGTCTGGGTATCATGGACCCCTCGCCCCGAGTTCTCGTCGTCTTTCCGCTTTGTTCTTCATCCTCGAACGGTCGAACCTCGAAGCTGCACGAGTTCAACTTCCGTCGAGCCTCGAGCCGCTCGTGAAACGCCGCGCTTTTCTTAAAACCAAATTTATTCGTCTCTCCGTGCGCTTGCAGTTCCTCATTATCCATGCGAGCCTCCGCGCGAGATAATCCTTTGATCGGTGGAAGAATGTTCCTGGCCCCTTTTTTCTTCAGAGAAGCTTTCGCCCTCGACTTTCCTTGCTCCTCTTTAGCAAAATTAATTCTGGACGAAATTCTTTCACCGAGCTCTCTATCAAAATTCGATTCCGTATCCCGTCTGTCCTCGATTTCCGACGTCCAAGATAAATCTTCGAGCTCTCCGGACCTCGGGATGAATTCGTCCAGTTCTTCTTCGTTGTGTTCTCCCTCATCCGAGACACACTTGACTTGCTTCTCGTTTTCGTCCGCGGTGCTCGACGCGCGTCTCGAATGCAGCATCACATTGTCGTGATAATCGATATCACATGGTTTTCGAGCGGATTCGCTCGCGTTTCTTTCCGAGTTCTTGAAACACTTCTCAAAGCTTCTCTCATAATCGCTGCCGATTTGATAAGATGGTGAACCGTTGACTTTCGATGGATCAGTTTGATCAGTCGAGCCGATCTGACTTTTCGCGCAATCATTGAGGTAATTAACAATTTCTCCGTTCGTCCGTTCCTTTTCCGCGATTTCTTTCGGCTGTTCGTCTTGCGATTTGCGCAAGAACTCGTCGACGATGAACGGCGGCGGTTTGCGAGAGCCTTTCTGCTTGGGATTCTTTTTAGATTTCTTGCTCTTTTTGCGCTTTACGTCCTTCTCGATCTTCCTATCGTTGGAATCGTGCTTTGTGCCACAGACGCAAAGAGATAGCCAATCCATATTGAATTTACAGCAAATCGATAAAAAAAATTCGATTTTAAAAAAGAACGATTTAAATTATCTTATTATCAGCAGTAATTTTCTTGACGTCTAATTACTATGACGTATATTCACATGTATTTATCACTTATATTTTGTCCTCCGCAACAATTCTTTATAAACAAATTATTCTTAATGTGCGTTTCATAATTTATTTATAATTAATTTACAATAAATTGGCGTTAAGAAGTTGTAATGTCTATGTTTTATCTCATCATCAATAATAATTCCATATAAATTCCGATATATTAACTCCCACATAAATTCTTGCGCTTTTCTCACGATACATTAACTCCGATACGATTCTTGCGCTTTTCTCACGAATTCTCGCAGATTATATTGCTATATAGTCATCTCGTAATGTCTCATGGTAACCAGCTCTTGCTCCATTTACGCTGTTGAAGTCAATGAAAAGATTGGCACAACGTTCGCACTACTTCATCATCGGTGACAATTCGCTCGAACCTGGATACCTTCTTGCTGTCGTTGTACTTTGCGCGAAAGATATCACTGAAAATATCGCCGAATCGAAGGCAACGAAGAACCGTAGACGACTCGCACGATCGATTCGTCGGGAACCTCTTCAGGAACGTGCAGGTTTAATCCCGTACAATGCCCGCCACGCGCGCGACGCCGCGGCGAAAATTCATGAAATTCCTCGTGGCACTTTTGTTCCGATCTTTAAAAAGCGGAGGCAGGCTTTTAGACTCCGAAGACATTGTCTTTTTCTTCACCGTCTTCGAGATGCGATCGCGGATTATCTTTCGGGAGCATGTTCGCCCTACCGACTGCTCTTTGAGATCCAGGAATAAACGCACTTGTATGAACAATCCTCGGTATGTCTAACTTATGGGCTTACAAATAATATACAGATGAATATGAATGCAAATATAAAAGATTAATTCTTAAGCTTAATTATACAGTTTATAAAATATTTATTTCAAATCTTTCTATCCTTTCAATTTATTTTCTCTTTTTACAAATAAAATAAATTCTAAAATTTGTAATTATAACTATTTTCTTTTATATAAATAATTTATTATTTAAGTGTAACATTTAAGAAGAAATTTCCATCTTCTATAATATATTAATTTTTTCAGATTTCTCCCTTAAATCCCTTTTAGGGCAACGTGACTCCAACTCCATTCTTCCTAATTTCGCAAAGCTTCGATTTCATTTTTCGTCGCACGTGTAACTCGCAGACCCCGCGGGCACGGTCGTTTACTTTACGAAGCGTGTAACGCGACGAAGTAGTTAATAGAGCGAAACTAGGGCGGGATAATTAACGTCGCACCAAAAGTTCGCGCGTTCGCTATTTGGAGCGGCCATCGCATCGAGATAATCGGCGTCGACGCATCCGCGATGTATCAGCGTCGCGCGACGCGAGACTCGATCGACTGACAACGTTCACCGAGCAGCGTTTCATAAACGCATTTATTATGACTCCCAGAGCGAGGTAATTTCGCCCGGTGCGGGGCCCCCACCATATAAACAATTTCTCGGCCCGCCTCGATGAGCCCCGGCGTTATGCGCTATCGGTCACGATACCGATTCCGCTTGATTCCGCTCGACGAGATGCATGCGAATCATCCGGCCATAAAGAAACATCGCAGCGATGCCGGCATTGTATGCCAAATTGAAAAGTATTAAAAGTTCATGGTTAATTTTAAAATTAAAATATTGTCTATCGTACTGTGAAACAAGAAAAAAATCCACCGCGACTCGTACGTGACCAGTTAAAAAATATTTAATTATTATAAAATTAATAAAAAAATTGTGTTTATTTCGAATATTGATTGAATTTCAACTTCTCTCACATATGCGTGTTTAGTATTACGAAGGTTAATGTCACGATCGACGGCAAGTAGATTTTTCCGGCACGACTCGCGGCACGAATGTCACTCGAGGAATCGATACAGAATAGTCTTCGAACAGTTGTATACGGGAAATAATTCAGGAGCTATTTCGGAATGAGAAATTGCCTAAAGCCGCAAGCGAAATCGAGCAAACCGCGCGGTGGTCGAAGGTGAACTGACGCCGCGGCCGATTTGTATCGTCGATTGCAGCGCGAACGATAATGAGAAGCATTTAACGGCATCTCGTTAACGATTAGACAGTACTATGCGAATTTTCGCGGCTGATTTTCCCAACTTGATAAGTAGGAAGTGAAAGATTACAGATATGCGTTTACCGATCCTAAATGTTCGTCGACGAATTTGGAATAAATTTTTCTTCGATGAGAATTTTCTCATTATTTCTAATCAGGGATATACAGAAAATAAATGTCTCGCAAGAAAATTCGGATCTTTCATAAAAAATTAATATAAATTCGCAAAAATTAATTCTGCGTTAATTTTTTTTCCACTTTTTGCTGCTAATTTATTTTTGAAGAACGTTATTCATAATTCAGACAATTTCGTACATCGCCAAGTAATGTCAATTCAAGTCAGAATGCAGAAAGTGTTGACAGATTCCTAGCTTCGAAGGAAAAATATATCTCGACCCGCTTGATCGATCACCGAGGATCTTCTATGCGGATGTATGTGACACTAGGTTTATCTAACGTTCGCGATACGCGACACGAAGCTCCCGGTGCGTGACCACACGGTACCAGCCCATATTTATTTACAGTACACTCGGAAGTCGAGCCTTTCCTACACACGCAGACGACTGTTGCATCGCGGAAACGCACCGTGCCTCTTCGACAGGTACGGTCGCCGTAAGTATATTTCTTTCTCGCCACGCCACTTAAAAAAAAAACACCTTAATTTCTACACCAATAACTTTAAAGCAATTTTTCAACGCTGGTTTATAAACTAATTGCATTCTCTAATTTAATATTAATCATTTAAAAATATTTTATAGCGAATTATTACAAATACACATACGTTAGATGTACAAGATTGGTGATTCTTCTGAAAAAACTCTAATAGTCGTACTAAAATAGATTCGACGACCCTGACTGATGTTAAGCTACCTGTTTTCTAGCGCGCAATAAGCTGTAATTTCCATGCATAATACGGAACCAAAGTCGAGACAGAAACAGTAGTGAAGAGAACGATGCGATCGGCACGCGTCGTCGTTCCCGATTTCTATTCAAATGCATTTCGGCCGCATCCCGATTAAACGAGGCATTAAAATGCTCGGTTCGGGGGTCCAGCCGTACGGTCTATTGAACATTAAATTTAAGCAGCGGCTTCCTGCGTCGCAGATCCGTCATGTGTAAACCGTGCACGCGGAGGATGTTACATTGTATCGTCGATACACAAAGCAGAGATTCTATAGAGAAATAATTTGTATGCGCGCACGCGTGTAGGGGTGTGTATGCACCAATGCTATTGATCCCGATCAATTTCTTCGCGAGATTACCATAAGTGAAATGAAAATAGAAAGCAATTAATAAGATATACCTTGTAACCTACAGCGCAATGTGATTAGAAACTAAATTAAAAAAACTAACTAACGATCGAATGAAAGCTTTACCATCGAGAGTGATTTTCAAGTTATAAAAGATTAATGTTTATTTCTATCAGATGCAGATTAATCTCCGGTTTAACTTACTTTTCATCTTTTTCTAAGTTTTAAGAATTAAAAGAATTCTTCTCGTTCTAACTCTTAGAACTAGAAAAAGATAAAAAATAAGTTAAACCGAGATTAAAGTTAATCTGCTTGGTAAAAGCGGACATACGAGTTTCTAATGAAAACCTCGGAATGCAACCTAAAAAATGAATAAACAGCGAAGCTCTAAATGTCCTAGAAAAATAATTAAATAATTGACAATAATTTATTCAATATAAATCAAAATTCAACGTTTTCAAAATGAAAATTAATTCCCGAATTTCATCGTCGGTATATCATTCGTGCCTCTTCGTTCGCTGCATAAATTATAAAATTATACTGAAATCGATACATGCCCTATGTATTTCGCGCACGTAAAGTATTAATGGCTTCCGTGCACCGAAGCATCGGGCTGCATTCCTAATCGTCATCCCATCGCGGATGATTTTTCAGATCATGAACCCAAGAAGTAATTGAGACCTATGGTAACCTATGCGGAGTACAAAAAACACTGCAGAAAATTAAGTCATTAACCGTGATGCGTAATAAGAGTAGCGCGCGAACGAGCGAGCAAACGAACGAGTGGGCGAGCGTGTGAAAAAATGTACGGATGAAAAGCAAAACGAGAGAATGAACATATACGAAAGCAGTGAGCAATGTGCATTTTGTAAGAACGAAAATGTTTAGGCTAAGATAGCTCAAGTTTGTAAATTAACGTCAATCTGACTGTTGCGGAAATCGATATAAATTTAAGGGGATCAGTAATAATTTATGATATTTTGTTTAATTATGCGAAACATCCTTGTTTTTTCAATGAGTTTGCCATGACGATGATAAATATTATAAGCGCATAAATAACATTGGATTTAAATTCAACTTAAACCAAAAATTAACGTGCAATTTAATTTAAAACCCAGAATCACTTTTTCATCAATCACGTAATCTATCAATCATCTTGTAATCTCATGTCGAACAAAGTTGTCAAGATCAAAGTTGTCTCAGATCAGCTGCTTCGCAACATGATTTCGCCATTTTCTCGAACAACCAGTCACAATACACGGATATCCGAAACACGACGCATCTGGAGTACACCCGGAATCAGTGTAATTTCAGTGTTGAGGCATTCACGACGGCGCCGACGGTACCAATGTAGTCGCGTGTGGGTGGAAGGAAGGCAAACGGCGTAGTCGTTCTTTAGTTCTTGACGACGACACGAAAGACCGCCACTTTGCAGGAGAACTCGAGCTTGTTACCGACCAGCCGAGACCCGGGCTCGAATACGAGGTTCTACAGCTAGGTTGCTAACGGCACCAGTGCTGGAACAGCTGGGCTACGCGCTGCTCGACAAGGTTGAGCTAGGTAACGTGGCCCCGAACTGTTACATATGTATATGTACACTGTACGCACGCCTGCGTAGCACACCGTTGCTGTAAAGACGCCAATAAAGAGGAGGAGGAGGAAGGCAAATCGAGTTTTGCATGAATCAGATAGATTGTTCTGTAACTTTACACTTGTAAAAACTATTTAACACCGTGCAATTATCAGCAAACAAATCAACAAATCTTAATTTCTGCAAATTGTCAATAAACATCGATTTTGCACAAATTAAATTGCAGAAGTTAAGATGTAAAACAGAGTTTATTACGATTCTAAATTAATAACATCTATAAAAAATTTGATTTTTTTTTAGAATTTCTCTTATAAGAATTTCTTTCACATCAATATATAAAAATTTATATTAGACTTAATTCTTTGCTAATGGATAAAAATTATACATTTTGCATTTAACATCAAATGATATATGTTTGAATACTCATTGTGCTTTTATCCGTACGATAAATTCCGACGCCTTTGCGCGCACTATATGTGACAGCCATAAAAGCCTACGAGTATTATATCATCCTCCTTCGTGTGCAGGTGTTAAAAATATTCGCGTGCAACATTTACATCTAAAAATGACACGTGAGAGCCATCGTATTATTAAATCGCATACTTAGCGTCCATTATAAATGCATAGGTAGCGTTGAAATTATTTATTATGTACACGACAAAATAACTGTAAGGTAACAGCACTATGTTCGCACAGATAGCAAATCGCAGATAACACCCCCATATAGTAATTAGAAGTTTATCTACGATGAACGGTGCCTCGTATATAACTGTGCAGTAATTATCGCACCTTGCAACAATGCTCGAGCAGCTTGTGATATATGTGTTACGTTTAAAATAGTTTCGTATTTTATAAAGACACTGCCGTTTTCGAACGATGCCCCACGTTTCTCGTAAAACTGATGAAGACAAGCGCCGAATCGAGCGTGCCTTGGCGAAACGCCAATACCGTCGTCCTTCTC